ACCTGGTACAGCGGTATTACTGGTGGCTAGGGATGCGAAAGGACATCATAGAATATATCCGCACCTGCAACATATGTCAAAGGTGTAACTATAGTCGCCTTAAGCCAGGTGGCTTGGCGCAACCCCTGCATATCCCAGCCTCACCATGGGAAGCAGTGAGCATGGACTTCATCATGGACCTGCCAAAAACAGAGACTGACAACAATGCGATTATCATCTTTGTTGACCGCTTGACGAAGATGGTCAGATTGACAGCGACTACCATAGAGGTTTCCTCCAAGGAGACCACTGATCTCCTCATCCATAATGTCATTAGGCATCATGGTTTACCCAAGGAGTTACTGACTGATCGCAACAGCCGGTTTACTTCTGGGTTCTTCTCTCGACTATCAGAGAGATGGGGGATTCGGCACCTTAAGAGTACAGCCTATCATCCACAGATGGATGGTCAGTCTGAGGTAATGAACCGCACCGTCGAAGATTACCTCAGGAGCTATAGTGCTACAGTCCAAGACGAATGGGATCAACAACTCAGTTCAGCTGAGTTTGCTATAAATAATGCTAAGAATGAGTCCACTAAAGAGACTCCATTCTTCCTAAAGTATGGGCGACATGTAGTCAGCCCACTAGCATATGAAATCCCAACACGTCTTGCACAGTCTGACACCACCCGTGAGGGGTGCGAGGGATACGAAGTCCCAGACCAGATCCCGGCTATAACTCAAATGATGGCTAAGGTCGCTTCTGCTCTGAAGTTGGCAAAAGAGCACCTACAACAAGCCCGAGACCGTCAAAGACGTGTAGCGGATCCGCATAGATGAGACGTCATCTATCAAGTAGGAGATTGAGTACTCCTACAATCAAAGAACATCTCCTTGAAACATCCAGGGACGAAAAAGCTCTTGCCAAGATGGCTTGGGCCATTCCGAGTGGAGGCGAGAATTGGTGAGGTCGCCTACCGACTCGCGCTGCCGCCGAGCATGAAACGGGTTCACCCCATATTTCATGTTTCGAAATTGGCATTATATAAAGATGGAGGTCGTGTACAACCTCCGCCCCCTCCAATTGAGTTGGAGGGTGAACTCGAATACACTGTCGAGAATATTCTTGACAAACGTGTTTGACGAGTACGAAACAAACTATGTACAGAATACCTAGTAAAATGGACCGGGTACGGTCATGAACACAATAGTTGGGAATCCGAAAGAAATATGACCAACTGTGCAGAAATATTACAAACATTTGGAAATCAATATTCAAAACATAATCATCCATCAGGTGCTAGACGTAGTAAGCGTCAGAAACAACAACGCTAAGAGTTAATTCTTGTACCTGTCATTCAGGTGATCTACCGTTGGATTCAGAATGTCGAGAGAGGCATTCGACCAGCGCGAGCACCCGCACCTGGTAGGGGCAGTGGACCCTCAGGTCGCGGCGGATCTAGCGGCCGTGGTAGAGGAGGCCGAGATGCCCGTGGTGGCCGCGGACGTGGCTCACCTTCGGGTAGCTGATTTACCTCCAGTAGGGAGTGGCGGACTTTCCCTTGGGGTGATCCCAGGGTGACACGCAAACACATAACCAAAGGAGGGATCTGACTTGACATTGTTTTGTATGTATGTGGCTCCTCTTGTTAATGTGTTCTGCCGACAACAAAACGGTTAAGGTATTTGTCTCAACCGGGAGACTTGCTAGACGACCCTCTGGTGAGTTCTCGCCGCGTATTTACTTGACACATTGTATACCTCCAAGGACGTCGGTCCCGGGGGAGGGACGAGTTGATACGCCATATGGGTATTAAACCCATTAAGGCATTATAGAATATATTGAGTTCTATTGATGGAACTCTACTTTACTAGGAACCGTCCTCTTGTCACTGGTCTAAGGTGACTGGCTTCCCTAGACTATGTATATAGTGACTACATTGTAGTCTCAAGCCACGTAAAGTACTAAAATATATAAATAGTATACCGTCTTGTAACGGGTGGTCCGGCGTGAGTCATGGTGACTCACATGCCGTGGCGAGGTGGGTCCACGGATTTAGCGGGAAGGCGCCCACCGTAGCATTAGCCTGTATCAGTGTGGCAAGATGCGGCGGGGTGGGACCGCAACGCACTTTGGAAAATCCATGACAGGGGTGGCTGTCAACGCAACCGGGGTTGCCGCAGTGCTTTGCAGTAGTAATGCATGCACGCATGTCAGACTTGCCGGGTGAATATTTTAAATACCGCCGGGTTACAAGTAAGGAACCCGCCACTACTACAGCAGCTGCGGGCCTTCGGGGGTAACCCGGCCTTTCCAATCACACTGCCAACAACGGCGCTGACAACACAGCGACTGGGTCCCACCCCAAAGTAAGGGAACTGTAGACTTGCCACATGTCTCCAAAAGGAAGGAGGAAGGGCAGCAGGCACGCAAATTACCCAAACTCAATACGCGAAGGTAGCGACAAGACATGCCAATGACATGCATTCATGTGGTGGGTGGAGTGGGAGGCGCAACTAGTATTGGCAATTCCCAAAGCTAAAAAATGCATTTTGCCATGACACCTTCCCTTTTTGCTTTCCTATGTGGGTCTCTTAGGGCCATGTCAATTGGCTAAATTGCGCCTGTGAACGCATCAATTGAGTGTAAGCATGGCTTAGATCCACCGAATAATATACAGAATGGTTGGATTCGAATTGAATATATCAAGTGCATGCGAATCAACATGAATTGAATGGTTTGTTGAACAATCGGCTGCAATCGAATCATATTGAATGGAATTATTTGCGGAGCCAGAACATTTCAATAGACTAGCTTGGAAAGAAATTGGGAATTGGGCAGGCAGAGTGCTCAGCTGAGTGACTTGGCACTGCCAAATTGGCAGGCGATAGAGGCAAATTGCCAGTGATTTTGGCAACTTAAGCATGTATACAATCGAGCAGTAGCGGAAACGAGGAGATTCATAATTACGTGTTGTGAGATGGTTGTGAGATGTTAAATACCACCGGGTTACAAAAGGCCCCAGTCTTGCCTCGCCCGACCAACTTTATTTCCCAAACGGGCGTTGCAAAAAGACAATAGGGACAAACATGTTGGGACGTGGGGGAAAGCGTGACGAAATGAATAGATTGCCACCCACTCACGATATTAATATCGGACCTGCGGTGACTTGGGGCGAAATGGGGCGAAATGGGGCGAAATGGGGCGAAATGGGGCGAAATGGGGCGAAATGGGGCGAAATGGGGGATAAATCAATATTGATTAATCCCCCCATTTTCGGGCCAGTCCCCCAATAATATCCTCTCCCTCTCCCTCGTCCGCCCGGTCCCTGGCGCCCGACGCCGCATGGACGGGGGCCGCCCTCGCGCCGCGCCCCACCCTGCCCCTTCCCTCCCCCCCACGCCGCCAGCCACGGAGCCTCAAGTCGCCGGCGCCCTCTCCTCAGGCCCCCCGGCGCCCCTCCCAGGTTCGCCCCGCGATCGATCCCTCGAGTGGCGATGCGTGCCGAATCGGCCGCGTCCGGCCTGCCACCGCTCTGCGCCGCGCCGCCGATCGCGCGCCGATTCGATCCCCCGTCGCCGCGGGACGCCCAAAGGGCCGTGAGGCATGCCCGGGATGGGCAATAGGGCTTGGGGCCACGCTCAGGGCCTGGCAAGGCAGGGGGGGAGGGGGGAGGACTTGACGATTTGCGGATAGCACGGATCGGCGCCCCAGCGGGAAGGATGCGGCCGCCCGTGGGCCGATGCCGTCGCAACCGTGATGCCCTGTGGCAGCAGGCGCGGCTGTCACAAGGGCGCTCCTACGCGCCCGGGACCATTCTGTGTGTCCGGGGATGGGCAGAGGACGCCGTGTGTGGGGTGTGGGGTGGGGGGAGGGGGGGGAGGAGAGCGGGCCGCCCCTCCCCGCCCCTGGCGTCTTGAGGGTCCGGAGTGGCCTGCTTGCCGGAGTCAGGCGCTGGAAAGACCGCGACGGGGTCAAGAATCCGCCCTGGTGCCGCCCTTCCCAGCCCACGCCCCCCGCATCTTGCAGCCGCGCCATGTCTCCCTAGCGATCTGGCGTTTCCGTCCTGTCCCCGCGCCCGAGAGGCATCGCGGCTGCGCGGCCCTGACCCGCTCTCCCCGGCGCGGCGGCGAACCATCGCTGGCTGGGAGATCGCAAGGAGTCAGCCGCTCTTCGCACCCGGCGTCCGATCCCCAGGTGGCGCCATCGACGCCGCATGCTCTCGCCCTCGCCTGTGGGCCCTTGTGGGCGGAAGGCGCTGTCGCGGCGGGGCCCTGTGGTCCATTTTGTTTTGGCCGGCGCCGGGAGGAGGATTCCCCGGCGATCCGCTGGCGGTGGTTGTCGGGTGTTGGGAGATGGAAGTGGCGTGGTGCGATCCGTCAGTGCAGGCGTGGCTGCGAGCACCCGCGTTTTTCAATCGGTTCGCCTGGCTCCATGGCCGACGGTGTGCTGGTTGTGGAGGTGTTGGAATGTTGGCGTGTGCGGCGGTGCCAGGTGTTGTTTGCCGACTGCATGCTTTTCAACACGCCGACGTTGAGGAAGGGTCCCAATCAGATGGTTGAATTTTGGTTACTCAACTTGAAACAGGTGCCGGGAGCAGCGCTCACGCAACAGCACAGGGCATTGTGTGCCAGCAGCTGTGTCCTGCCCCCCTTCTCATTTCTGAGGACAAGTGTTGCCCTTGCGATGCGACCTGGCAAATGTATTTCGCCACACACTTTGTGAGGGTGCCTTCATGGTTTGTTGTCCATGTAGCTCCAGACCATAATACCCATTATTCACAGTGGCCCCTCTTCTTCATTGTCATTGCCCCTTTGGGGAATATACCCCAACCAGTGTCGATTGTCTGTCAGCTCAGGGGAACAGTGCAGGGAAAGCTCTGTGGTCTCTGTGTTTCTTGACTGCCATCCATCATCCCAGCATCGTCTCTACAAGCAACCCAGCACAGCGTGCCTTTGTATGCAGGACCTGCAGCTGTTGAGCAGCAGGGGGAAGACTATTCATGCCCAGGGAGCGAAATGAGCATCAATGCAATGGCGCAGCAGTCTGTTGTTGGAACTGTTGCAAAGTGCACGGAAGCAGCACAGATAGAGGTGCGCCATTGTTCAGCCCAGCACTGCTGAGGTGAACCTTGTGAGGAAAACTGTATGTACATGCACATAATTGGTTTCGATGCAGGAATTTGTTGCCTGTTGGGCGCCACCACCATTTCCTTGAGCTGCAGTTCACAAAGGGACCCATGCAGCGCCGCTTGAGTGTATTCAAGTTGTCTGCCGCTGTTGTTGGTTTCCCTTCATTCTTGCATTGTGGACTGGGGACACAGGCTTGCCCACTGTATGAAAAAGTGCAAACAGCGCCGGTTACTGGTGGCAGTGCCGATGCTAATCACCCTTGTTGCTTGTCTGTCAAGCACCTCTGTCCGACATCCAGTGTTCCCGATTATGGCCAAAGTATGTGCTGTGGATGCTCCAGACCTGGTTTCGCACAGCCTGGGCAGTGACCCTCCATGTATTGCCGATTGAAGAAGAACTTTGTGACAGTAGTTAGGGAAGAAACTATTTCAATTTCCGGTCCGCTGCAGGCCATATGGATGCAGAGCCCAAACGTTCTCCCAGTGGTGTTGCTCTTTGTTTTGATGCGCTGTTAGTACTTCAAAGACAAATGAGCAGTTCTAGTTGATTGTGATTTGCGAAAGTACAGTGAAAGTTCTAGCTGGAATGCTCCATCCAGCTGGCCACCGGGTGGTAGCACCGTTAAGCACCCTCCCGCCAATGCAACTGGATGGCCTGCCACATTTGGGCCTGATTGCTGCACAGCACCCCTGACCATGCTGTCCACTCAATGCAACTGCCAGATTAAGCATTGGCAAATGCTGAAAGTGGCGCTGTGGACTGCCATCTCCAGCTGCATGCGATGGTTATTGTACTGTTGCACTGTTGCATGCTTCCAAAAACAGTCCGCACCATGGCATGTCCACAGGTGCCATCGTTTCTCTTTGCATGCCTCACCCATCTTTCAGTGGACTGATCGTCAAGTTGGAAGCTGGCAGACTGGCCACCAGCCGCTGCCAAGCATCTGTATTCGATCACTTCTCTCTGTCCTCAAAACTTTGCCCTCTAAACAGCCAATGACGTGCACTTCTGTGGCCTGGCCTGTGTTCAAGTGGCGATAACCCTCAACACAGCCATGTCTGACATGGGGGCAGCTTCAGGCGTTGGGAAGCAAGTGTGCAGGGTTTGCTTAGCACTCAATGGCAGGAAGGAAAACGTCCAGACCGTGTGCGTTGAGATATTGCGTAGTTCCGATAAATCGGAACAAAGCAGGGACAGGCCTCTGTGGTATGCAAAAGCTGCTAAAATCAAACTTTGTGTTGGGATGGTGTCGTGATGGTATTCTATGGTATTGTGCACCCCGGTGTGAGAGGAGTTGGAAGTTTCTGAATGCCTTGAAAGTACAGTGCTTCCTGCTGACTTTGCACCTTGCCAGAACACTGAGGATGGCCTCATCTTTGTGTCGGAGGAAGCACAGCCCCTTGTTATTCACCCATGTGAAATGTGTTGTGATCGTTCCCTTGGTTGAGCAAATTTGTGCAAAATTTGAGACAATAAATTTGATTTAGTGCCAATTGATGCTGTGAGCTTGCAGAATTTTGGTGAGATGATATCTGTTGTTGCAGGATCACTGGTCGCACATCTCTTGCGACCTTTTGGACCGCGTCTGCGATGCGTACGAAAGCCACAATGGCAGCCGTGAGCCGTTCATCAAAGTTGTCAGGCTGCTCAATGTACATTGGTGTCAATGGGGCACAAAGGCGGTCACCTTCCTCTCGCCAAAGTCTGTGGCCCTGGAGGTTGTCTTGCAGGTAATGTGTTGGGTGCTGAGGAAGCACCTGCTGAAGAAACACTGTGCAGCTGGGCAAGCAAACCATAGGAATCGAAACTGGATGCAGTGCACATTGGTGAATTTGGTCGGGGAAATTGAGGGCATTTGGATGTATCGAGGCACAGTCAACCATTCTGCATAGTCATGTAGATGAGGGCCTTGAATTGCAGAGGAGACAGTACAGCATAGGGGCTTGCTAATCCAGCAGTGGGTATAGCTACGGAGTTGTATCGTGTGGGGTGGGAGGCCATCGTCGGCATGGGCCAGCACAGCTGTGGCCCACAATCGCAGATGCCACTGCAATCAAACAGCATAGTATTGCTAATCACCAGGTCGTTCCCATTTCAGAGGTAAGCGCACCAGTGTGGGGCATCATCTGCAGCATGCATCACCCGTAGGACTTGTAGAAACTGAAACTGATCGTCAGCAGTCTTTGCCATACATGCGCATATGCCCGTTGTCACCATTCCCTGCCCCATGCCACAAGAACACGACGACCACCTTCTTTTTGCACAACAAGTATTTGAATTTATCCTTTTTCTTTTGCACATTAAGTATCTGCATGGTGTTTTTGTGCCAACCTGCTTGCGTTGTCAGTGCCCATCCACGCTGCGTTCCCACTGAGTGCATTATGTAGGTGCGTAATGGCAGTTCACCTTCAGCAGTGCTGGCTATCACAGCTGCCCACCCCCCGGATGGACAGCCACTTGCACAATAGACTTGTGCGTTTGTGGTTTGCATCAGCTGACACCTGCCTGTGCTCATTTTGTCTTTATTGCCATTTGCACATCAGTGACCTTGGTTCACGTTGTATTGAATTGTTGTCTCTTCAGTGGTCTGGTTTTCAGGCTTAGGGTACGCTATCTACCAAGTCCAAGCGTTTCCAAAATTGAGTGTGCAGCATTATCTGCTTGCCTTGAATGAATGCCTCACGATTCAATGACCTGGTGAGGGTGTTTATCACCCATCGTTTCAAGGATGCTGCAGTATTTCTGCTGAAATGACGTCTGTTCAGCCTGTTGTTGTTGGGGCTTAGGGCACGCAAACAGATATCTCACCACGGGGGCTAAAGCTCTCTTAGGATGCCTCGATGCAGCCGGATGCTGACCCTGTGTGGTGGTGCAGTCCCTGAGAAACCGCTTCGTCTCTGTGCGCGCCATCAAGCTGTCTGGCTGCCGTGGCGTCAACGACGAGGGCCTGGCCGCCCTCGCCAGCGCGTCCTCCCTGACCCACGTGGACCTGGCGCGGTGCCGGGACTTCTCCAACGCCGGCCTCACACAGCTCTCCTCGCTGGCCCTCCTGGAGCACCTCAACCTGGCGCGCTGCGAGCAGGTCTCCAACGAGGGCCTGAAGGGTCTGACGTCCCTCGAGCACCTGGCCTACGTGAATCTGCGTGGCTGCAGGAAGGTGACCAACAGCGGCGTGGTGTGCTTTGCGGGCTGTAACAGCCTGCAGCAACTCAACCTGGAGTCCTGCGCGGGGGTCACCAACGTGGGCCTGTCCTTCCTCACCCACCTCAACCCAACCTTGGAGCACCTGAACCTCATGTCCTGCGACCTGGTCACCGACGAGGGCCTCGCGTGCCTCTCCAGCCTGACCACCCTCCGCCACCTCAACGTGGGCCTAAGGGCCCGGGTGACGGACGAGGGGGTGCGCCACCTCACCGGCCTGACGTGCCTGAGGTGCCTGAGGCTGTATGAGTGCAAGGACCTGACGGCGGACGGCGTGGCGTGCCTGGCGGCCTTCTCGGGGCTGGAGCACCTGAGCCTGCGACGGTGCGGGCAGGTGGCGGACTCCTGGCTCCCGGCGCTGACCGCCCTGTCGTCCCTGAAGCATCTCAACCTGTCGCGCTGCCGCCGGCTGACGGACGAAGGCCTGTGGACGCTCACAGCGCTGACAGGCCTCATCCACCTGGACCTGCACCGCTGCGACCGGGTCAGCGACGCTGGCCTGCGCCCCGTGGCATGCCTCGCTGCCCTGGAGCACCTCAACCTGGGCGGCTGCGTGGAGATCAGGGACGGGGGCCTGGCCTGCCTGGCGGTGCTCTCCGGGCTGCGCCACCTCAACCTGCGGGGCTGCGCGCGCCTCACAGACGAGGGACTGGTGAGCTTGGCCCTGCTGCCCTCCCTGGAGCACCTGAAGCTGAGGGGCTGCGCCCAGCTGGGCAACCGGGGGCTCAAGAGCCTGACGAGGCTCACCAGGCTGCGGTACCTGGACCTGCACGGCTGCGCGAAGATCACGGACGATGGTGCAAGGTGGGTCGCCTGTGTGGCCACAACGTGGTGCGCCTGTTTCATCGCTGGATGGTGTTATGAGGCAGAGCAAGTTTGGTCGATTTTTGCTTCGATGTTGACCCACATATGAACCGTTCCCAAGAGCAGCTGCCTTGCCTGCACTGCGCGTATTCTGTAGTCCCAACAACTCGAGCAGCCTTCTCGTCAAGAGATGGATGAAAAATACCCACCCCCTCCATGTGGCTGGGGGTGACCACCCTAACAATGCCAGTAAACTTTGTTAGGATCCCCTGCTTTGAGACTTTACATCATGATTGTGGCAGATAGACGTGAGTGTTTGGTTCCCTACATAAGGATTCCAACGTCGGCGTGGGGAATCGAGATAGAGTGGACTTACACATGTCAATTTACAAAGCACGGCAGACACCATAGTGCTTTCAGCAGCAGTCACACAACACAGATGAACTTGAATGTGATGTGCATGGCATATCAGGTGCAGAATTGTCGTTTTTGTGTTGCTATTGGTGTAGCCATTTAGGCAGTACGTAGCTGCAGAACTGGCAAAGTGGCACACCCATCCACCATACCATTCAGTCCTTGTGCCCTTGCAAATGAGCCAGTGCGTTTCCGCGATGCTGGTCAAAGCTCCCTGGAGGACATTGTCAACTTCGGGACTGGGTCGTCACTAATGCAGTGGTGGCTGATGGTTATGTCCTGTTTGTGCACACTATGATGGCATGACAGGACATGTGCAGAGTCACTAGGGTCTTAGAAGGATAGTAAGGCACACCAGCAGATTGGAAGGGCATCTGGGGGTGCAAAAACGCTGCAGGGTGTTTTCCAGAGGAGTTTGATGGTGTAACAGAGCGTATCGCTAAACTGTGAATAGTATGGAGGGATAAGGTCGTGTTGTGCCAATAGTGCAACAAAGCGTTGGTCATTTACTTCAACGAGACGGCCCAGAGCAACAGGAACCGCAAGTGGTGCATGGTCTCTGCATTCTCTGGCTTTTGCGTCACGATCACAAGCCCAAGCTGTGTGAATGGCGTGCATGTTGCGTGACATGAAATGGGCGTTTGCTGCAGGACCCTGGTGGCCGGTCTGGCTTCCCTGGACCAGGTGGTCATGGGCGGGCGGGGGGAGGGCCGCACTGGCGGGCTGAGGGGGCCCCTGGTGCTCGTGAAGGGGTCCCTGGGGCTGGGCATCTCCGTGGTGGCAATCGCCGTCACGCTGACCCTGCTGTCATGCTGGAGGCGTGCAAGGTAGGACAGCGGCCGCAGCAGGCTGGCGGAAGGAAAGTGTAGGTAGGCCGGCGGGGTGCGCGGCACGCGGCCCTGGCTTGATTTTGCATAGGTAGCTGAGCCATGACAGTTTGGGAGCGGGGAGGGTGGCCTCCGGCAGTGTGGGGCGTATCGGCTTGGTGTTTTGGGGCGCTGCCGAATTGTAAAGCAGGATTGAGAGCATTTTCGGACCAATTGGTAGGCAGCGGCGGCGAGCTGCGCAGTGGCCGCCTGGGGGGAATAAAGGACGGCGACGGGCGCGGCGAGCACTTTTTGGGGCGCCCTTGTGGATGTGGCCTATAGGCCCAGGTTGACGGTGCGCATGCACAAGATTTGCATGGATCTGTGTCGGGAAACAGGGGTGGACTGTGCTCTGTGGCATGATTAAATGCACGGCACCGGAATGGGCACGATCCAACATGGGGGGGGCGGCTGTGACCATCGGAATTCGCGCTGACTATGACTGCCAAGAACAAAGCCGATTGGGATAAGCGGATGCCGATTGGGATAAGCGGATGCCATGCAAGAGTGTCAATCTGAAGGAACTTCACTACTCCTGGTGGCTCGCGAAAGACTGCCCTGTGGCAGTGTCTGAGTCGTTCAAGTCCCCACGCTGGCTGTGCCGTGGGTCTGGACTGACGCCAACACGGGTGGCAGGACCGTCTTGAGGCACAAGTCGGTCCATGGCCACAAGGAGAACTGCACAGCCCGCCTTGCTGCAACGTCCATCAGACCAATGGACCTCGCTCTACAGTCTGTCGGTGGCTAAGGGCTGCCGTGTAGCCACTCCTGCACGAGCGCCATCCCGTGTTATTACCACCCACCCACCTTGAACCCTAGTTTCCTGTCTACGCCATGCAGCTGTGAGCGCAAGTGTGTCTGCCCAACACCAGCCTCGCCAAGCTGTGCCGTCGCCCATTTAATTCACATGCCGTGCCACGTGGCTGCTTTCGACCTCGTGGCCGTTCCGCGAGTGATTCAGTTCTGCCTGCGTAAACTGAACCTCTCAGTTCCGCCGAGAGGCCACTTCCACCAGCACTTTGCAGCCGACTGCTTAGTAAGACCCTGCGTCTGTCGACGTTTTGATGTGTGTTGGGCTGTTCAGGCAAATCTGTCGTAATCGGCAAGCTTCAACATTCAGACGACCAGGAACATTCTGCGGCTCTGATAGCTGGCACGACGTTTCCACTGGAAGCATCGAATTGTCGTGCACTTGCAGTACACCCGGGGCCCAGGAGCAGCGTGGCTGTGTCTGGAACATTTGGTGAGGCTTCTCAGCAGGTCGTGCAATGCATTTGTCCAGACCCTAATGCCAGACCCACGCGGCTGAAGGGCACTGCTCCCCTAGTCGAACCGACGGGGTGGTGTCCTTAACAAGCGCGACCTGGCAACCTCGACGACGCCCTGGTGCGCTTCACCATCATGACAGATCGTGCTATGTTGGCGTGACAAAACGCGTTGCAAAACGAACACAGGCATGTCTCGCCGCCCTTGCAAACCAGCTTTTCCAACGACTGCATCCATGGAGTCCAATGAAAATGACCATGTGTGGAACGATCCAATCAATTAAACAGCAACCCCACAATCCTACGGCCTCCCAGTCCGTCAGCACAGCACGCGCTTCCCCACGCGGCCGACTGAGAGAATAAAAAGCTTCAAAAACTAAAAAAATACTTCAAAAAATAGCAAATTCGGGCACCATGCCAATGGGAAGATGGAGTGCGAGTCCCGTTCCAGGAGCAAGAGCAGCTGCTGTGAAACTGGCCAGAGTGGCTTCAGCGAAGCGGGCGCCACCCCTGGGGCGCCTCAAGCTGACGCAGTGAGGATCTTGTCGTCCAAGCTGAAGTCCACGTCCTGGCTCTGGCGTCCACTGCTCACATACGCGTCGCACAAGTCCTTCACATCTTTCATGAAGTCGTGGCTGGGCGCCCAGCCCAGCTCGCGCTTGGCCTTGTCGCTGGAAGCGAAGAAGTGGACGGTTCTGGACACAAGGAACACGCTTGCTGCGTCATGGGCCGCACCTTAAAACTTTCAATCATCGATCATCATCATTGTTTTACAGAACAAGGCAATGAGGTAGCCGCCAGCTTCCTATTGTGCCTATTTTCACTGCTCGTTCCTTGCCTTTTAATGTAAATGCGATTTTTTTTTCGCGTAGGCAGGGCGCCGACCGCCGCACACCATTTAGCGTTGACCTGCGGTGAGGTGCTGACAGCAGGAGCAGGTGAACCTTTCTGGTTGCACATCTTTTGGAGCTTTATTGTGAGGTGGCACCAGGCCCGCATATCTTGTGTCAGGCCGTGAGCAGCAAGTGAACTCTTTGCACATGACGTGATGCTCTGGTATGGAAAACATACAGCGAACAGAACGGTCTCCCCAATCAGCAATCTTCACATCCCTTGCACAGCATTTTTTTAAATCCGTTGCGATTACATTTGCCAAAACCATGGCAAAGCAAGCCCTGTCTGCCTGGCTGCACTCGCCATCCAAATAACAGTACATTCTTGCACACCTGAATGGGAACCCCTCCCCCTTCTTAAGGCCCAACGCCTTTGGGTCGTATGTCACAACCTTTGCTTCCTTGCCCAGAGCCTCAGCCACAGCACCAACGATTCCTACGCACGAGCAATTCAGCAGCAATTCAAATAATGAGAGAAGGCACGATTATGGTAGAAGCCGTTTGTTCACATATGCTGGCATGGGACAATCACTGCTCTTGTGCGTTGGAGGTAATGGCGGGCACAATGCAACCAACATTCCTTGCTCAAGAACATTTGCTCGTGGCACCTGATGAACATAGGATCAGCGTCGAAACAGAGAAGGACCTCCAATTCTGCAAAGACGAGAAGCAGATGCTGACTATGAAATGTGTGGCTTATTTTCGTGGGAGGCGAAACGTGAGAATTCGTCCACTGCAATCGTGGTAGCACTGTCATGTTGCCACCACAGAGAATTTGTGCCGACCTACTTTTGTACAGGTTGGGGCAAGAGGAGGCTGGAACACGCACCTCCAAATGGTCTGTTTAATCCTTATTCCTCCCTTTTCCATTCACCATCTCCTCATGGACACAATAAAACCTAACATGCACACAATACAAGGGTGTGTTGGGAACACACCTTCAAATGTGATGCACCGGTCGCTGCAGACGTTGTACTCCTGTCCTACGGCGTTGGCATTGCCAGGCACCGTGGCCAGCATGGATGCCACATCCTCAACATGGGTCAGTGAGGTGAGCTGGATGCCAGGCGCGGGCAGGGGCACAGTCCGGTCCCTGAAAAAAAACATATTCAGTCAATCATCTGGCCAAAAGACTGGACATGTCATCGCATGATGGGCAAAAGGACAATCATCTGCAATGATATGCAGTACTTGTTATTGCGACAGTGATTTTGCCATGTTTGGCAACTTTGACAATATAGGATCCACACTGGATACTGGAGCATCTTTTGGGTCAATAACCTGAGGTCCACTGTGAAGAGACCTGGGGCGGCATGCTGGGCAGGTTGAGGTCAGATAAAACTGCAGTTCTATTCTTTTACCGAACTGGAATACTTATACTGCAGTGCACTGCAATACTTGCAGTGCGTTGAAATGCACTGTCTGTGATGCATACCACAACTTGCTTCTGACTTCCAAAGCCCCCTCGCTCTTCTGCTGTGATAAAAGTGCACTGGACTCAGACACACTTTTGGGCAATGTGGCTCAAGACTTGGCATTTAGTTGCAGAACAATGTAAACTCCGTGCCTTCTCCTTGTACCCACTGTCTTTAACAAAAGCAACTGAACTTGTTTCCCACTCCCAGCATCTTTTCCATTCCCCTGAGGAGAAGATGTCCTTATCCGACCTCACCACCCTGTCGATGAACCACTGTTCACAGTCCTTCGCTGTGTAGGGCCCATAGATGTACAGAGGGTGGAAGATGGTGTAGGGCACGCCTTGTGACTTCAGGTATCCTTCCACCTCCACGTGCCCAGCAGACGCCTTTCTGGCATCACCCTCCACATGCATCGGCTCCACACTGTTCGCCTCGTAAGCACCCACAGAGCTCACAAACACATGGTGTGAGCAGCGGCCCTGAGAGGGCAGGAAAAGTTGGGCAGCAATAGCACAAAAGTCCTTGTTGGTAAGAAAGTCACCATGAGGATTATATCGACCATTCATTGTTGCTGATCGTAAAAATTGATCGTCTTTATCATACTGCGATGCATGACTGCCTCTTTGTCTGTCAGACTGCAGAAATCATGGAGACACACACACCCAGCCAGAAGCATTGTCAAGACCAGTTGTATAGGCACCAGCCCAATTGAAAACATGACAAACAAGTAACACTCTGTCAGCATTGCACACATCCCACCCTCAAACACACTCTGAAGATCAATTCCTGTGCCCAAGGTGGGTCAGATGGCATCTTTGGCCTTTTCCTCCCCTGGTTTCCATCTGCCTGGTCGCAATCAAAATGCATCCGGAACAGTATGGAATTGATGATCGACACAACATACATGAATGCGCAACCAGCAGGGAGGATATGCTACAAATGACTGGTTTTACAGGCCACGTTCAGTGCAACCAAGTTCTGGCAGACAGGCTATATCATCTGTTGGGTTGACTGAAATGCCTGGAAGGCATGAATCCTGGATGGCTGCACTGGTTTCTGCCCACAAAGCCCCATCCCACCTTAAACGTGTCGATCAGTGGCTTGCAGGCGTCCAAAGTCTTGCCGTTGTTGTCGTACACTACATCAAAGTCCCCCGATGGATAAGTAGATGGGTCTGTAGGGTCTGACCAAGCGATCTCAGCACCTGCTTGTTTCAATGCTGCATACTCCGAAAATGGAGCCTTCCCTGTCAATTTCCCCTGCCACATGCAACAGAGACAATTGATCAAGCACCACAATTCGTGTGGGGCCATCCTTCCAAAGATTTGTAGTGTAGTGGCAATAGTGCCGCCTTTCATGTTGCTGCATTTGTCCAATCAGGATTCAAACTGTGTGGCAGCTCCAGTCAACATTGCTTGTGTTTGTGGTCATTCAGCCAGATAGGCCCACCATTCCACAATCAGACAACAGGCTATCATATCCCACCTACACTGTCGCAGTCAGTGTGGCTCTCAAACACCCTTCTTCAGGAGCAGAATTTTCACTCCTGTTCCCCATCATGGCAAACTGACCCCCAGGAGTGTTGATAAGGGGCTACATGTTCAAGATGTGTCGGGTGATGCTTCAATGTGGGTTGCCAGGAATCATAGTGGCATAGCAATCGAGATGCCGGGAACAAAAAACTGCAAGTTTGACCCAGGGAATACACAAACTTGTGCTGTGATATAGCAGTTGCTACACCATAAAGCACACTTGCAAACGGTTTTGCCCAGGGAGTTGAACAGTGCACAAGGGATTCAGCGGTGGTATCGACGATGCCCTAACCAACATTTCAACAACAAGCAAACAGAAACCAGTACTTAACCCAAAGTCTCCACATCTCATGGCCTTGTATGCAGTCTGTACAACTGTTGATATTGCGTGACTGACTGATGGTTTGCATCAGCATTCACAGAGGCTGGGTGAATCTGCACAATTGCCCATGCATTGCTGGGTCTGTGGCGATTCTAGAATCAAACACTTTGCTGACGAATGGCAACCACAGGTGACAGTTTGATCTCCTTGTGGTCCCTGGGATCCAACTACTTGCTCGGCGTTTATGTCAGTGTGCCCCAAAACCCCACGTCCAATTAACAAGAGAAAAGGGCCTCACTATCAGCAAAAGACGGAGTGGGGTAGCACATTCTCATGGATGGTCCCCTGCGATGATGCAGATCACTCCAGCTGCTAGGAGACCAAGGCTGGGTCCCCAACTGGTGGAAAAGCAGTACTGCTCAGAAATGACCAAGGTCCTTTCCAGCCAAGTTGCACTCCAAAGTCCATGATTCTCTTGACAAGATCACCACTTGCCGAAATGTGTTCAAACAACAGCCTGGCTTGGGGCATAGAACTAACTCAATTTGCCCAAGAGGACAACACCAAAGTTCCTTGAGGGCGATCTTGACCCATTGTGAGCATTTATGTTCAGACATTGATGCTGTCAGTTCCCTGTGCACATGCCTTCGGCATGGCAGTTACAGTTGTTGATACACACTTGATGAACGACAGCAACGATGAGAACGCCCTTGCCCTCCGATCAGTGACCAAGGCGCTGCCCTTCCGATCACATGACCAGCTTCGACACGAGCTGCTTGGTGTCCAATCCAACACAACTTGGCCACCGACCGAAGACTCCACAGCAAAAGAGCCCTCCGACAAACCCAGCCTTCTTTCGTGATCAAATAGAGATCGCATTTTGCACAATGCGCCTGCCATACAATTGCCTCAATCTTGCTGCTTCGATTCCCGCAATCTCTTGCGGCATTCTGCCCACCATCGCCTCACGGGCAACTGCTGTGTCCGTTCCCTCTTCGCAAATCCAGCCACGCGATTTGCGGCTTCGACAGAGCGCAACGCCTTTTCGATCCCAGGCGCCCTTGCCCGATCATCACCATCATCCAATCGTCCCATCACGTCAATGCGCCCACCGCGTGCCTGGCGCCCAATCGCCATCATCGCCCCCCCACCCCCCCCACCCACCAACCCCACACGCACAACACACACGCATGCATGCACCATGTTACTTTTTTCCACTTTGTCGACGGCGGTTCTCACACCGCTGCAAAAAGCGGAACGGGGTCCACTGCGCTTACGATGTTGTGTCCCATCACGCAACCATTGCTCCGAGATTTTAACACAAACCTTGACACACATGCACACACACATGCGCGCACCTCGTCTCCGTCGTTCATGATCGTCACTTGGTGCCCGTCGGCCAGCAGCCTCTTGGCCAGGTGCAGGCCGATGAACGCATGGCCGCCGCCCTTGGTGTTGGCGATCAGGCACCGTTCGCAACGCACGCATCCGCCCCTGGATCCCGCCCTGGACCCCGGGGCCCAAGAGCGCGGCTGCCGCGGCGAGAGAGCTGCGGGGCGGCCGGCGAAGGTGGAGGTCGCGGTGGAGAGGTGTGTTGGTGCCATGGCGAGGGGAGGGTGGCCAGAGCGGGAGGTGGGATGATATAAGGGTTGAGATCCGTGCCGTGGAACGTGCTATGTACTGGCCCCCCCCCAAGCGTGAGGAGGTGATCTGTTGGGAATCCATTGGGAAAGTATATTGCTCCCTACCGTAGGTTTTAAAAACCCTACAATTCTCCACTCACAAGTCTGAACCACATTTGAACCACGAGGAATTGTTGACAGTGGTGTAACTGAGCGAAGAGCCTATTTTGCCTTTATGCACTTGGCGCTCAATGGACGCTGCAAAGGCACCAGCAGAAAAAGGACCAAATAACACTTTTTGCGAACACACATGAAATGCATTTCATCCATGTTCTGCACGCTTAAAACACGAAAATAGCCCAAACCCGTAAACTTTTACACATGTTTGAACACGTGTTGTTTGGCTCTTTTCCCCCTAGCGGGGAGGGGCCCCGACTTAAGTCTCTACGATATCAGGCAAGAGGAGGAGACTTGCGCCCCTGTGAAACAAGCTCTTGTCCGCGGCATGCACAAATTGTGTATGTTTGTGCAGAGAGGGCACAAGCGATTCTACTGGCAGGTGTTACACAGATGGTGTCCCTTGCGTCCACAGGCAGCAAACATGTGTGTCACGAATAGATGCTTCAGGTTGAGGAGGCGGTTTTTTGCGTTAGACTTTCATCCAATAATTTTGTGTCCTTTCTCAGCTCTTGTGCAGTCCTAGGGCTTGGCCTTCAAGCCATCACGTATGTGCGTGCGCGTCTGTTGTGGCAAATCTCTAGTCAGATCAGATAGTTGCTAGCAGCGCTCTCAGTCACAAGGCTGTTCCGTCCATGTGCACGCTGAACGAGGCTGACTGCACGAGTCCACCATTCGAGTATGCCCGAAGCTGTAGACGATACCTGGGGACACTTGCAAAGAGGAAACAGAGATGTAAACCCTTCCATTTGGAGCCATGTAGATGTGCACGATCTAATTCAGGTGCAGGAGAGAGCAGAGTAAATCAGACATGTCTCCCGCTACATACGTGGACTAGCGCTTCGAGTTGTGCAATGCTCGAATCCACGGAAATGATCATGCCTAACGTGACTCAATTTTCGGTTATAACGGATGTGCAACACGTGGAAATAATTCCCAATTATTGCTTTCCGTTGCATTCCTATACAATGCATGTGATGCATGGATACAATTTCATCAGCCAATGCGCATGCTCTAGGCTTTAGGGATTGTTGCTAGCGAAGCTTGTGCCAAGTGCAAAAAGAATGAGGGCGTCAAAAGTGGCCAGAGCTGTCGATGGCCCTGGCCCCTCAGGCTCTTGTGCTGACCCTTGTGTCAGCCCTTTTTGCGGGGTCGGGCTCACTAATAATTGTAGAGGACGGCTTGACGTTTGCGGAGACTGTGAAGGAGCTTAGAGACGCGCTCTACACTCCCCAAGTCAGCACTGTCGCCATCAGGAGGAACATAACAATCAGCACGTACGAGTGGGGATGGGCGATTCCAAACATACAGCGCGAGGTGGGGCGGGTTTGGTAGTCAAGGAGAGGCGCAAGCACAGGAAAGGGCAGACGTCAGACAGTGATAGGAAAACCTCCCACGCAAGTGTTTCTGTACCGTTGTCTATATTTACAGGCATTGGAATGATTTTCGGTGAAGGTTCGCCTTCAATTCTTGCACGAAAATTCTGAGAGACACGTGTGACAACCGCACAGTTGTGTGGGGAGACTCTCGTGCTCGCGACTCCTGCCACGCATCGCAAACTCGTATGTTCTTGTGCGCACGTGCACGTGGCATAACAGGCTTACAAAATATTACTGAATGTGGTGGTGTACGCCGTCCCCGCTCCTAAGAAAAGCCATAGAAAAGAAGTGTTTGATAGAATGTCCATGACAGGTCTGTGAATCCTTGAAATTTCGCAGGCAAGGTAAATGACCCCATATTGCGCCCGCGCTTGAATTTTTCGGGAATCAAACAGCATTCTATGGCATCCTGAAAACGCGAACTGCTGCAATCGCACTTTGCAGGTTTTTTATTTTCTTTCCCTAGGTATGATCCACATGATCTTCAGCATGTTCGGTACTTGCATGGGCACATCTCTCAATGGAGGCCCCTTCTGTCAGTGTTCCCGTAGTTCAATGCGCTGTGGATCCGAAATAGGAAATCGCATGATATGTGGACCCCCACACGCTTCTACTTTCCATTCACCTCCATGGTTGCGTGCTTGCGTTGTTCGGCCCTGTGGCTAAGATGTTTCTTCTATGTGGTGGGCGAATTAAACAATGCACTTGGGAGGGGAGGGGCGCGGTGGGTGGGTTGCTGCCAAGCGTTTTCCCAGCTCCTAACGGGCACTGCATGTGTGGGGACAATCGCTGCAACCCGAATGGGGCACACTGCTCTGCTATGACGCAAGGGCGTGACGCTGCATTGAAGAGGTCTTTGCTAGAGTTTTCGAAACTCATGTGTGCGAGCTATATGTACTATACATTTGGGTAAAGCTACAGAGCTTTAGCTTCAAGTGTCGCCTCCACTGCATCCATTTAAATGTCACATTTGACACCTTGACCTCTGAACCGTGCCCGCAAGAACGGCTTTGATTGGATTCTACAGTTGAGCTACAATTCTAGAACACCTTTCAATTGTAAAATGAGTCACAAGCAAATCGAGCCTTCACCGTTTTCCCAAGTTTCTTTAGGTAAAACTTGCTCTGTAGGGAGATTTTCATTGTGCTCTACATGAATTCCCTATGAAACTGCAAACTCCGAACATCGCAGGTTACGGTAACGACGGCAGACGACGCTCCTTGGCCCACGGTCATCAACACGAAGTCGGAAAGAGAGCTGGGCTTCGTCCTCCCCGGTGGGCACCTCATCATCCGGGGCGTCATTTTCGATGAGATGCAACCTCAAGCCAACAAGTTCGGACAGTCTACAGCATTCCCTCTCTTCACGTCCTTCCCCGGGGGCAACATCTCGTTCTTTAACTGCAGCCTGCTGCAGTCAAATTACGTCTGCTTCAGACTGGGACTGGAGAACTACATGACCAACAGGCGGCCCTCCCAAGAGGCCCTGGACAGGAACGACGGGCTGATTTCAAACGAAACCGTGGGGCCCAACGACACGTATGTTGTCCTGCACGAAAGCGCCGGGCCCAAGGAGTTTTTGCTGTACGACGATCCTGCGGCCCAGAACGAGGGGTGGATCTACTTCTACGACACGTACTTCATATGCAACATTTGGGGCCTGACTTCTGTAAAATATGTTAGGGCGATTGAGACGCAAACGATCACCGAGAAGCATTTCAAGGTGACACAGAATGCCGTGAAATATTCAACCCTTCCGCAGAATAATGCAACGCCTGGCAATTTGGGGGCAGAAATGTTAACGAATTTCTCGCGGAGCAACATGGAAAGTAAATGGCGCTCTGAACAGACAAATGGGGAGCCAAAAACGCGGAGGCACAGGCTGTACTTCACCCCATAATTCAACGCTTCATGGTGCACTCAATTACCACCTTCGACGCTGAAATTCGTGGCATTGTCAAAAAAGCCCAGAATGCGTGAATATGCCGAGCTTGCCGCAATACCGTGTCCCAGTATCAGCATTCAGGAGGAAAGACGCCACTTCCCTGCCACCAGTTCTCTATTGCGATGTTGCATACATTAGGATATTTCTTCTCTTGGTGAATAAATTCGATATGTAAATTTGCGAATGTGCTTTACAAATGTAAAAGGCATTTTATGTGCCAAAAGCAAGATAAGCGGTAATGCACGGAAGAACCATTCTATTTTTTGTCGGTGAGGTACATCGCTCTGTCGACAGTTTAATTGTCATAAGGCTTGGGAAACATGACTGCTGCCAGCAAGAGCGCTGCTGTAGCCCGCAGTGCTAGCAGTGCGGAAATGCGCGCATGTTTCGTAGTTTTTGTTATGGACCCATCTATATTACCCACAGCAAGGAAATAAATTGACATCAGCAGCGTCGAACGCTCAAGTTCCACACAGCTTTATGTCGAGATTCCATTTGCGACCAGGTAGTGTCCGCATCAGCCCAGTCCACGGCGCCCTCGCGCGTCGCCTCCTCGCAGTGAAAGAGGCGTTGCTGGTGGGAAACAAGTAATGAAATGCCGTTGTGCAGCTCAACTGACGCATTCTTTTATCGCTCCAAGGTCGACACTTTGCATGAGCTTCTGAACATCCTGACGAGGGGAGATCCAACCGGAAGCTCTGCAAATTTGGTGGTCGCCCAAAGAGATAAGGAGTTCATGATGCAGACCACGGCGGTGACGGTTGAAGTTGGGAAGAACATCAGCATCACGAAGGAAAACTGGTCGAAAGACATCGGAATATTTTTCTCGTTCATACAGTTGAACGGCGGCGCCAGGGAAGACGTCCATCAGGGGTTGGGCGCGGAAAATCGCACCGCCCTGGTGTTTGCAGAGTCAACGGCTGGAAAAATGGGAATAGAAATCAAAAGGGATGCAAGGATGGAATTGCGCGGCATGGATCTGCAGCTCCCCCTCTTCGTACCGCGAAACCCTCTGCAGAGCCCAGTTCACAAAACCAGCGTTTCTGTTATGGCGGATGGCTTTGAGCACTACCATTTTCGGGTGAGCCACAGTATCCCGTCGAGGGAGCGCAAGTAAACGCGGCACGGTTGTGGCTACCGTTACAGCGTGAACGCTCGCCCGACATTATGTGATGCAAAAATGATGACTCGTAAATGTTTGTGACCCGACGCCACATGTCGTTCGCTACTGCAGTCAATTTCGTCTTAGTTTTCTATTCATTATCTTTCTTACACACTGGTGGCTGTAGCATTCTATCTTGAGCTTTCATCAGTTACGGATTTGGTGCTGAGAGGTTGTGGGGGAGACAGACTATCCATTGCATCGCTATAGAAGTGCAAATGTTCGCGAAAACAGCATGTGCATGTTACAGGGCAGTTATACGTAGAAAAGGTGAACAAATGCTTAGCTCAATGGTGAGCAATTGAAATTGGATGCTGATACACGATTTCATAAATCCAAATTCCTGGCAAATGCATGCGTCTAGTTTGCATGATTCACAAAATTGGTCATGATGCTGTGCAGGTTCCAGTGTATTTTCCGTCTGTTTTCAATGTCCAAGTAAATGGGGCCCTCATTATGGACAACGCCATGATGACATACACAAGATGTGACAGAGAAACATCATTTTCCATGCTAGTTCAGTCACTGCAGGGTTCCCACGAGCTGAGAGGCAACACATCGCATGTGCTGGATTTCCGGCTGCGAGCTTCGCTTCGTGGAAATAATTCCGTCCACATCGCAAGACTAATTCTCAACATACCCTCATTTGCAACCAAATCGGATGGCTCCCTAAAGATATCAGGCTACGCGAGGTTCGAGGCAGTGAATTTGACAGTAAATTGCTTGAAGTTTGTGGACAAAGAGGAATACTCCCAGCCATCAGAGGGGCCAAACCCAAGTGACGATGTTTCAATAAGGGTGGACCCGAATTTTCGCCCTGCAAGTATGGGATTACGGTACACTTCTTGGAGGTTGGATCTAGTGTCTTTATGCGTAGTTTTTTCCCTTGCTGCGCACTTCGCATAGTGGGAACTTCGGTTTCATGGGACATTTGTAATACGCTGCAATCACATGAGCGCATTGAAGTATTCAAGTTACTTCTATGGCATTCAAATGCAGAGTGTTATTGCTTGGGGATTTTGAATTGATTTATGAACTGGTTACGGAATCCTTCAAACTGAATGGAATGTGACGTTTTTCATGGATGTGCTTAAAAACGCCAAAAAAATACTCGCGTCCATTGATGATACATGTTCCATCTCCGTTCCCTATTTTGCTCGTGTTAGTTCATGTCATTCTCATGTCTGCAAAAGGGCATGACGACCCTGTTGGAATTGTTTTATTCTCATTTTCTTGTAAATAAAGCACCCATCGCTCATTCGCAATGTAGGTATGACCTGCGGGGAGGGGCGGTCGTGCGCACCAGTCAGGTTTTGCCATTTCTGAAATGGCAAAGATGCGAATGACCTGGCCGCCTCTTTGAAAATCTGTGGCACAATTTTCACGTTGCTCAAATAAATGGGCTACCATACTTTGCATGCCAATGCAAAAGCAATGGCTCGTGATATTTCAGCCGATAACATTCCCTGATAGACTGTTACCTGCCTTGCGGGGCACATTTCAAGTACACACCTGGGATGACTTTGGGCTCAATTTCCGGCTTGATGCTACCGCGCGGCGTCCAGTCGGCCATCATATGCGCCTGTGTGCCAAATTGCGTCGAGAAAAAAGTTGCACATATTAGGATATGGAAGGACATGGCCACACTCTGGATCTGTATATCCAGGATGGGCAAATTTTTCCGACGCAGCGGGCCTTGCCGCGGCGCCGGATTCGTTGGGGGATTGGGTAATGTGAGCCCAGGCCTGCGGAGGTCCCAGCTTGCGGCGGTGCATCTTATTGCACACGGACGGTGGATCGCACCCGGGCGTGTCTGGGCCAGCAACAAAATGTTGCACTCACTGAGCGTGGGTTGTACCGCAGATCACGAAGGATAGCAGCCCCCGACCCAAACCCCGCGTTGTGCGTCAAGCCTGGCGTGAAGAACGCCGGGAACGCTATATTGCATGCGCCCGCGCTATTTTACGGCCCCCCCCATTCCGCACCAGTTCGATGAATCAGCAACGCCCCAGCTTTGCCACATTGACCATCAGATCGATTCAAAACTTTAAATACCAGTCTAAACTAAGCCAACCATCACAACAAATGGGGGATGGCGTCGGCATAGTATGTTTTTGCTACTTTCTGAACTGCATGTTTGGATATTGTATGAAGATGGTCCGTCATGGGAGAAGCATCAAGCGCACACCCCGCGCCCTGCAGTGGCTGCCGTGTTCTACCACCGCGCGCGTCATCTAAAGCCTCCGCGCTGTTCAACACCACCTGCAATATCCTCTGTGACCTACGATACATCAAATAGCACGGGTGGGGTGAGGTAAATGAGGTGACTTGCCAACAGAAATTTGCAGAAAAGGTCATGTGTACTTTTACGAAGAAAGCCATTCAATGCCCCGAATAACGCTGCCAGCTCATGCGCATGACAAAGACGGAAACATCCAAATGAGGTAATTTTGCACAACTGTCTTTCAATTAATACTTTCAAAATGAATGGGTACAAGCGAACGCGCTTTTCACTTTTACGGTCCTTTCCGCCTCAAGCACCGATGCAACGTGAATCGCGCGCGTATGTTCCCGCTGTGACAACCCAGACGTATTGCGCACATTTTCATTCCCATTTGAAATATCAAACGTGCTGAGGACGTTCGCCTTTCCGTTTGAACCCCTAGTACATACGCTTTGCTGCCGTTTAGCAATACAGAGGTGTTTCTTGTTTTAGTACTTGTCCAGTTCCACGTGATATTGCTGTCCATTTGTTAACTTTAATAGTTGATTTTTCATGGATCTGTGACTGGTTTTTCGGTTGTGCAAACTTACCCCATTAAGCAACTTTCTCTTCGGCCAGCTCGACCCCTGTGCTTACACCAAACCGACACAAGGGCTTGATGCACGGGCTGGCAGCCCTCAGCTCAGTTGGTTCCGCTTTGGGTTCGCGTTTTATCGATATATTTGGAAACGCAAGCCTCTGCTGGACGTCGGTTTTGGCGCTTCCACAACACAAACGTGGGCTTGAGTGTTCGTTACCGTGTCGAAATCTGAATGTCGTGCACACATTTGCGCTTTTCCGGATTCCAGTTGAACGACGTGCGTTGCAGATCTACAGCTGAGATATGGGCACTTATTTTCATTGATTTGCGCTAATGTTTCCTTTTGGTGCTGTGCAACTCCAAGGTATGGGTCGTGGAGCAGACACTCGTTTCAAAGTACCCCTCTTCTATTCAAGTTTATTTCAAGGGCGAGTGTTCGCTAGCAGATTCTCTGGCACTGGCGCTGTACTTTGCCACTTCCGTTTCCAAACTCAAGTCACTGGGATGGAACCAGGAGGCCTCCTTTCGAGCCATCCTAGGACTACAGGATACTACCTGGAATGACTACCTAAAAAGAGTACCTGGAAATTGATACCTGGCAAAACTACATGTGAATGCTCAGGAAATACTGCACTCACACAGGACAGCATCCGTGATTTCTGCCATTCATGATGACACTGTCAGGATGTGATGGCAGCATAGTCAGAACAAAATAAACTCCGACATGCTTTTTGCTGTCGATAACTGGCCAGTATTTCTAGTGGTTCAATGGTTGAAAACTTGGTGAATCACAATCATCCCCCCCAAAATCATGGTATTTTGCACTGATAAATGGTTGAAATAGATGCGCGAATGCGTGCGAACAGCTGCCCATAGCATTTTTATGAAAACGCATGCATGCAAAGAGAAGGCGGCCTTGGGATCTGCCCATGTACCCCGCCTCGCAGGCTCTTGGACTCACCCACGTGCCAGCTTTGCTCGCGCCCGTGCACTCTTAAATAATTACAGAGCACGGTGTGGCGTTTTTGGAGGCAGTGAAGGAGTTTATCGAGCCGCTTTGCAACCTCCAAGTCAGCGCCGTGGCCATCAGGAGGAACATGACAATCAGCAAATATTGGTGGGGATGGGCGATTCCGTTCAACAGAACATGTTGGCCGTTCTGCCTGCAGGACTGGGCGCCTGCTTCCAGTCACCTTCAACCTCACTACAACTGCGCAGTTGCGCTGCAGAACTGCAAGGGTACATTTCGAATTCTCGTTACCTGTCAGTTACCATTTCAGGTGTAATTTATGAGCGCTTTGGAATTGCTTGGGGATGAATTTCGCGCTCGTGTCTCGTGCCCCACATTGCACACTCATTCTTTCATGTAAATGCTCATGTGCGGGAACAACGTGCCATGCAAATGATTTTTTTAAGGCGTTTGTAGCGCTCAGTGCAAAGAGGGCATCATACGCAAAATAGCACATGGTGCTTCTGAAACCACATTTTATGCTTCGCTAATTCCTTTACTTGAGTATAATCAGCGGAGGACCTGGCATGTTTAGCACTAGAATGATCTCGCCTGCCACTTGAGACCTCTTTGATCTATCAGGCCCTGCCTGTTAATTCACTTCCCGATTTTCCTCGCTGCGTGGACGCATGATTCAACGTGCTTAGCATCGTTTGCGCAAGTGGCGATCGAATTTCATCTGATATTTGCTCAATTTTTTCTTTCTTTCTTTGGGAGTGGGGGGAGGGAGGGGGGACGTGCTGCCATTTGTTTTGAGGAAATACTGTTTCAACACTATATACAGGGAATGGAGATAGTAAACTGGGTTGAATCTCCTGATATTTTGTGACTAGGATCCTTCGTAGAAAATTATCGTAATTGTTTTTATGACAATTTGGGTCACTCGTATCTTTATGTGTAGACACATATTGAATACCAAAGTCCATCGACCTCATTTAAATTGCGCCCATACCCTGATCAATGCCGATAGGGACGCCGATGATCTTACTTTACAATTGCGATTCTGAATTTGCTTGCATAAATTTGTCGCGTGGAAACAGACTTGTTAGTTACGCCGCAAAATTTTATCGTATTGGCGACTTTCCGTGTAAACATAGGTAACGATT